AGGTAAACGAAAAGGAAGAGTACGATCCAAAACAAGTACAACAGCTTCATATATGTAAATAGATTTACACCATCCGTTCCACGTCTTTGTAATTGGCCTCGTTATATATAACGGCCATAACCAGAAGCCAAACTCACACAAATCCTTACGGTTTTTTCTATTAATATGAATATGACATCGTACGAAATATGAGCTTCAAAGCAGAATTGGGCAGGTCAAGGCGGAAATGCCTCAAGTTCAAGTCAAGTCAAGTTCGACTTGACTTGATTTGGTCGAAAATTTTTGGGGTGTGACTTGACCTGAGATTTTTTTCGTGACAGTGACTGGACTTCAAAAAATTTTCAAGCCCAGCCATTTCGAGTAAGAGATTTTTGTTTAAATTAGGCATTTTTTATGAAACAGTTTCTGAAACTATAAAATCTGTCTCTCACCTCAACGGCGCTAGCAAATTTTATGTTCTGCCAATTTTTTAACCAGACTTTACTTAGAGGAAAAAATTTAGAGGGATGACCTGACTGAACTTGGGAGAAAATTTTTTTCTCACCTCGACTTGCAAAACCTCTGACTTGCCCAGCTCTGATTCAGAGAAACGTACTTTGCGACAAAAATGAACAACAAATCGTAGAGTGCAAGAGTTTTGCGAAGCGAAAAAAATCTCGCATATATTGTTGATTGAACGAGGGTAAGATAAATGATACCTCAATTCGCTCAATGTTTGAAATGACTGTAAAGCAAATGAACGTAGAGCACACTGCGCCTCTATAATTGATAAAAACCATCACACCGAGTGTGATTGTGATATTTTAAGATGCTGTGTGAAAGGGAGTATCTATACTAATTAGTGCGGACGTCGTACAGTGTGCAAGGTACGTGTAATCAACAGTACAAACTAAAGGAGAATAAAATCCATTAAGATTAAACTCTCTTTCGATCTCTTCTATTCAAAGGTTCATATATATATTTTTTATACACTTTGTTTATTACGCTAGGTTTGCTCAAGGAGTAAAGAACAATATACATACCACTTACAAGAGTTAGAATAAATGGTGTAGTGAACTGAAAATGAATTAGTAAAATAAAAAAAAGTATCTTTGTTTGATGCTCAAAACACATATTTTACGTTTTCTTACCTTGTTTTGACATCAGTGAAAAGCGTGGTCATAATGACGTCATATCCTATGTAGCAATATTTTTATAGAATAATATTGACAATACATTGTGGTCTACCAGCAAATGTGGTATATTTGTGGTATACAAACCATATTAGGCGGTGTTTCATTTGCCATGCATTCATCGTCTTGCATGAATCAAAAAGAAACTCCAAGATTCACTTACTTCACACTAATGAGATACGAATCTTACCTTTAATAGAAGTATAACCTTTTCATGTCAAAGACGCAGCTGGCGCTTCTCATTACTATTTTCTCGTGTACTTCGAATATCAAGTGTTTCCAATTAACGTTTAAAAATAGAAAACAAAAGAAAAAGTTTAATGGCAGATTTAAACTAGGAATCTTCTCATTGTAAGATATCCAGAAAAATACTGCTCAATACAATACATATCCTGTATACTGCGTCACAATAAGTCTACAAAATATTACTTTTGCTTGATACCAACGACAATTTGTTGATTTTCCAGCATATAGAGTAATTTACAACTTTGCCATTTGTTTACATGATTAAGCGGTTTTTTTCAGAAATATAACTCAGTTCCAGTCTCACTCATACAATGAAAACGTTTAGTAGTATCAATGACTTTTGTATTTTTCTTCTTTTGTGTTTGAATAAAAATGGAAATGATCTAAGGCTTTCGGATATCCGCTTGTAAGTATTATTAAGCTTATTCGATAAAAAAGATGGAAAAATAATATTAAAAAAATCTATTAGTTCGATCTCCGAGACAATTCGTCTATAGTAAATAGATCCATATAACTAGAGGTTGTTTGTTGTCTTATTCATAGAAAAAACATTTATGAATATCTTATTTTGTTTTTTTCCTTCAACGAGATGAGCAAAAATTATATTGCCCAAAACTGTATGTGCGTCCTTCATCCTGTGTAAATGAGAAAAAAAAATAGAAAAGACAAACAGAGAAACCAAAATAACGAAGAAACGGAATAATTCATATTTTACGTGATACTGCAAACCTTCCCTATTTGAATTTTTTGTAATACGAAAAGGAAGAGACTGATCAAGTCTCATACTTTCTTCATTGGTCATGCATAGTTTTTATTTCTTAATAATCTTAAGGTCTGTAATTTGTTTACTAATCATTACTACACATAATAACTGACTAACACTCAAAAACCACCAGTCTTCTGCACGTATATATGTAAAATCCAAAAGAAATGAGAAGAAAAAAAAGAAAAACTATTTTATTGGCGCTGACATCTATATTCTACTTTTCTCTCTGTCTTCATACAAATTCACGGTTGATTATTCTCGTTCTATGCTTTAATAATTGATGATTTTGGAGCGCCTCGATAAAAGAACAAAAATTTTTTAAATTAATCAGAAGTCTATTATTCTCAAGCTTCACTAATCTAAATATCATCTTAAAAGGGTAATTATAACTGAATTTCAATAATCCAAAGTTAAATACACTGATAGTGAACAATTAAAAACCAAAACTGGAAAAAAATTTTTTTTTTCTTTTTTTGTCGCAGCTGTTTTTTTGCCGTTTGTGGTCCTTATCTTATCATCACTCTATTCTAACACTTATTTTCTCAGCTAGAAAATTCTAATCAATCGGAAATAGTCTTGACTATTTTCAATAGCGTACATGTATTGTATCGTAATAATTCTCTTAATAACATTGTGGATGTTCGATGGAAAAACATTTCTGCAAAGACTCAACTTTATATATGCTCTGATAGGATCAAAATAAAAACAATAGTATACATACTATTTATATGCGTATTTTTTTTTTTTTTTTGTTGGTTCACAAACGTCTGATGATGAGTATGTGCAGTAATATAAAAAAACAAGTTACTCGTCTTTCTATTTGACATTAGGGTTATCAAGTGTCATTCTTTTTTTTTTTCCCAAGAATATTGTGTTCGTGCCGAAAATCAGATGAAATCTATTATTACTTAAATTCATGTATTTTCCAATAAATAATAGACTTGTCAGAAACTCATGTGCTAGTTTTATACTTTTAACGCGTTTCAAAGAGAGAAAAATATATGAGATAGCAAGATAAACAAAAGTTTTTATGATTATAAAAAGTATGTATATCAGAGCCCGAAACGAACTGAATGATTTGACATTCAAATTAGGATCCCAAAAAGTTGTCCTGAATCGAATCAGGTTTTCCTGTTTGGTTCATTTCGGGCTCTGATGTATATTAATAGAAAAATATTTGTCAGCGTTCAAATTTCAAATTTATCTAAATTTTTTCCATAGGCTAACCACAGACTAAACTGGTCAAACATGGCATTGGTCTGTCCCATGTAAAAATGATCCAATATTTTAGATCATTTATCTAGATTCTGATGCACGTGCATCGAGATGTACATTGAGCTAAATCGAGATAAATGACAAAAAAAATTGGGTCGCTTTTGCATGTGTGAATCCAACATTGGATGCTGATATACAGTGTTTTCTATAGTAGTTTTGGTAGGGGAGAGGAGGGTGGCAAGCCTGCTGAGTAACTAAAGCTTTTTTGATTGAGTAACGCATTTTTTTCTGAGTAACTCAGTTACTCAGAAAAAAAATGAGTTACTCAGAAGCGAGAGAAAATCACTTACTCACGTGCATAAAAGGCAGTTTCTCAACATAAATTTCTTAAAAATTTCGAGTAAGTCAAAATTTTTTACGTAACTGTATCCAAACGAGAGGGTGGTTTACCACCCCCTAATCGATAACACTGCAGTGACATACTAGGCTACAAGAGTCAATAAATTTGTGAAATAATGAAATAATTATGTTTCATTGTCAGAAATTACTAAGCTTGTGAGTATAAATTTGATTCAAGCTTAGATCGTATTTCATAGAAAAAAAATCAATCGCAATAAAATAGGATATACGTACGCACTGTAGATCGTGCTGTGCATGATGATATAAAATTCTCTTTAACTAATAATGAATGTCGAGCGGATTTATTTCTTCTTTCATTTTTTTAATGTTCTTTTTAACTTTTGTCTGTATAAGTTGTTTGACAGTGTCAAAGGTAATAAAAATGGTATCCGACCATTATAGAAAAAAAAGCAAAAAAAAAGCTATTGTTCTCTCTATATTTTCCGATTATAATTATCTGTTCACATTAAAACGATCTTTCATATTAAAATATTGGAAAGACATCTCACAATTATTATTTCTTTATATTTGCAGAGAAGAGAACAATATCTGATTCAGTCCTGATTCACTCGATATGTTAATTGATTTTCCTATTTCGTCGTCGGCTCACAAACATCTTTCGTCTTCCCCCAAAATTTTGTCGAGCGAGTTGGGAAAAAAATGAATGAGTCGACAAAACGAGAATACACCCAATATCTCTATACGTCATAATTCAATATAAAAAGTATAATATGTTTAACTTGAAAAATGGATTTATTCCTTTTATATTGAATATCGTGAAATGCTTGGTGTAATGGTATTTTCACAACATGAGATATAAGTGTGAATGAGAGTGAAGAGGACAAATGCGGGCAATTTTGGCTTATTTTAACCTAAAATTTAAAAATTTTTTTTTTTTTTTAGCTTACATAACACAAAAAAAAATGAGTTCTTATTTAAATATTGTAATTTGTATACAAAAGAGAAAATTTGACACGAAAACATAATTCTCTTTCGTCAACATAAAAAGAAAGGAGAGGGCGTATATGTGTACGTTGTTCATTTTTTTTTCATCAAGGTCTATAAAGAAAAGAATGGAAAGAAAAAAAAAAATCGAAAGTTTAAATGATGAAAATTTTTATTTTACAACAAGTATCTAATAAATTCTTTGTATAGCACATGAGTAGTCTACTGTTTTAATAGACGTTTGTTTCTCTATCTCTATGGTATTCGTGACAGGTATGAAAAAAAAAAGAAAGAATATATTTTTTTTTTCTCTTAACATACAGTTCTTTTTCTATTTTACTTCGCTAATATACTCCCAACAGTACATCTTATGACACGGCTATTTATACTTGAAATTAAATACAGTTCCCCACGGGTAAAAGAAAATTGCAAGGACAGCCTAAAGAGAGTAGATCCTTAAAATTTATTTACTAAACTTTCTTATTCGTCTGTCAAATTAATCATGATCTAAAATTATAATGTTTTCAAGTTATTTAATTCTCACATAATATTTTAATAATAGAGCTTGTACAGTATAGGTACTTTTTGCTTTACGTCTACTCAATAAAATATTGCTGAAAATTATGGAGAAATAAATAGTTACAATTTTTTCATCGCACATCACATCATTCCCATCAGTATAATATACACTTTTACTAATTATTTTATTAACATTTTTATATTTTCTTTTTTTTTAGTAACATGACATTGATTATTGAAATTTGAATTTTACTATTTTTGATAATATTATCAAGATAATTATAAATCATGTCAGAGTTAAATAATACTCTTTCGTGTGTGAATTGTCATAAATTCAAGTGTAGTGGACGTGGATTAATTCTACCATGGGGTTTGTTGTATGACTAATGCTGTTTCTTATTAAGATATACCTAAATCATTTTAGGTATCGAAGCGTGTATGCCGATTTTACTGCGAGCAGTATTATATTTTATATTTTTATTATATTTATTTCTTGGTATAGCAAGAATTGCTGAGGTATTTGCGTCTTCAATAGTAACAATAACATCTAAAAAGAGAAAAATTCGGTATCCCGATCCAAATGGTGGAGAAAATCAATATATAACTATTCCAGTGTCAGTATGGAATCCTACAGTGGCAAATTTAACATTAATGGCGTTAGGATCAAGTGCACCAGAAATATTACTATCAACAATTGAAATTATTGGAAATCGCTTTGAAGCTGGAGAATTGGGACCAGGTAGAGTCGTAGAATATTTTTTACAATTCTTTAACTTAACTATAATTCATATTTTTAACATTTCAGGTACAATTGTTGGCAGTGCTGCGTATAACTTACTGATAATTTGTGCATTATGCATCGCGGTTATCAAATCACCTGAAACAAGACGAATTGAATTGTACAACGTTTTTATAATAACATCATTTTTTGGATTTTTTGCTTACATATGGTTATTCATCGTACTGAGTGTTATTTCAAAAGATGTTGTCGATTTATGGGAAGCTGTTATTACATTTCTCATGTTTCCACTTGTCGTAATATTAGGTAATCATATGAGTTTCTAACTACACCTACTATTTTTCTTATTTAAATGAATTCTAGTTGGAGGTGTAATTAAATTATATTTTCTTCTTTCATTTAGCATTTCTGGCTGACAAAAAATTTTTTGCATCAAAAACACCGGATATGGAAGAACAAGAAAAAAATTTGATATTCAGTAAGATTAATTAAACTATTCTCGTTCAACAGATGTATTTGGTAAACTTTTCGATCTTAATTTTTATGACTATCGTAAAAAACAATACTGAAAAATGAATCATATAATGCTGTAAAGAAATCGTCGTGGATTTAAGACGATTCACCGTGTGGAAAATTATTTTATTGTTTAACATCTGACAGATACTCTTATTTTATCTTATTGTGTTTTGAAAGGTCCACCGGAAAAAGATGCAACTGGAGTTGAAAGAAGTTTTAAAAAAGAAGAACTATTACAATTTTTAAGAGTATGTATTGGACAATATATCGCATGTTTTCCCACATTCTTGATTCATTTGTTTCTAATTTATGTAGGATTTACACCCAATACCAGGTCTAACAACAGAAGAAAAAGCTCAGTTATTTGCAGCAAAATTTTCGGACAGTACGCCTCGTAATAGAATGCAGTTTCGTATAGAAGGTATTTATCCATTTATTTCTCATTAATTATATATAAACATAATATATTTGATCTTTTTTAAAAAGGCGCAAGAATGTTAACAGGCGGAAAATCCTTATGGGTAACTCTTCCAGAAAAATTACAAGAGGTATGACTAGTTAAAGGCTAGAGAACTGATGCAGGAGAAATAGTGTACTATCTTATACGCGTAATAGATAACTTATGTTAGTAAAGTAGCCTTTGTAAAATATACCACTAAATAAAAAAACATTAGGGATTTGTTACACTTATCCTGCGATTATAAAATGAATATGACAATATATAAATCTGAGGACATAAAGAATTCTGCGTATGTTTAGATACATCAGGAGGTTAACAAACATAATTCATATCCTGCTAGTATAATAAAGGCAGAAGATAACGCTGATGATAATAAAGCCATAATCGAGTTTTCAGCAACAACTTATGCCGTACTTGAACGAGAACAACGTGTCGAATTGAAAATTCAAAGATATGGTTCGATAGAGCAAGATTTTCGATTCAGGTAGTTAATTCTCAATTCATTTGCTCTTTCTTGTTTTGCTCGCAGATACACTGTTTAGTATTAGAAAGCAAACACGTGTCATATTATCATAACAGGCTGCTATAACTGATGCATGAGTTAGAAGATTACTATTAATCATACGATATATTGCACAATTACATATACTCAGCTACATAAGCGAGCACGATTGTTTATATTTTTTTCATGCGTTTTTTATATAATTTACTTTAATCATCTTTAATCTATATGATTAATATCATTTTATTATTATTATTTTGAAGACAAATCACATTTAGGGTTCTTCAATACACAGCCTTCAATAATTTCGTGCATACTTTCCATTTATTTATAAGAAGGTCGTATTAGACTTTCGAATATTTTCGAAACTAAAAGTACCATAATTTCATAAAAAAATCGGAAAGCTATATGCAGAAAGTGCGAAAATGATTTAGCTGCTTGGCTTAATAAACTAATCGATTCTCCACTGATATAGTGTTTACTTTTATACATGTGTCTTTGTCACATTTTAGTTCATTGTAGACTATATCTGTGTAACTAGCTTCGACTTAAACTCTGTGATAAATTATCTGAACTGGAAAATAATTTTCTTTATAAATGTCTCACTTTGCTTTTCTTTCGTGTAACTGACATGTAATACACTACAGTACAAAGCTTTCACTCAGTCTACTTATAAGCTATTAGTTTACTTTTTTCCGTGGCTGTCGCAACGGTGTACTGTTAATTTCTTTTCAAGAAGAATTTAAAGATTCAAATATGCGAATATTTCTTTTTGGTTATGGTCATCGTTCATTTTCTTCATATCTCGTCTCATTAAGAAGCTTTTCGATTAGAATCATCAGATTGTTAGCTCAACAGAATGTTTCTGGTTTAGTTTAATTCATAAACTCAATGACGATTTTTTTTATGAGCTGAAAGTGGTAAAGATTATCGAAAACTGACTTTATAAGATGATGGGTTTCATGAAACAAGAAAAAACATAGAATATTTTAAAAGCGAACCATCACACTTCTAACAATGTTCTGGCATTTAGATATATGAAAACTCAATCAAACCACAACATGATGGTTTTAATCATGAGCCGAATATAGAACGAAAAGCTACATTAAGTAGAATTGATACGGATGACGATCCGAATATTGCTATCCTCGAATTTGCTGCATCGTCGTATGCTGTACTTGAAAGAGAACAACGTGTGACGGTCGATGTAGTCAGATATGGAAATGTCTCTTCTGTGCTTCGTTTTAGGTAGGTATAATGAGCACACCACCATTCTTCTATATCAGAAACGTTGCTCGCAATAAGTTGCTCTGTGTTATTGTTGTTATTAATTGTCTTTATTATTGCGTTAGGAATATACTAAAACATTAGAACAAACTCTCTCACTTCTCTCGCATGGACGATGTTATACACCATACCTCTTTGATCTTTGATCCTTTATCGATACATCTTAATTTTTAATATCTAGCACACTAATTTAAAACTAACAATATAATATAATCTTTTAATATCATTTATTGTGTAAGTCTGGTGTATTCGCTATACTAACGGATAAGCTAACGTTTTTCTTGAATTAATTGTACTCCTTCGTTGCCCTTGCTTCGTAGGTTGAGAATCGTACTATGAGTATTGAAATTTATTCATGTGACCAGTCATAAAACTTTGTATCAGTATTCACTTTAGCGTATAAATGAACACGCATATCCTATTATAACATCTGCTTCATTACTTGTCGTTGTGTGTAATACTTGCACGCCCGTATATATTGCATGTCATCATTATTCTAGACAACAAACTAAAATACCCGCCTGATTTTTTGTAATATTATCGAAAACTCCTTTAATTTGTTCTTTATATCATTAACAGTCACTCGATATCTCTGATGCATAGCTATTTTTCGAAATTATAAATATTTAGGCTCGATACAATAGACGGAACAGCAACAGCAGGTGAAGACTATGTCAAATTATCAGAAGAATTTAAAATGGAGGTAATAAAAAGAATATTTTCAATGAAGTTGTATAGATGTAATATTATCTTTTACAGCGTAATCAACAAGAAAAGAAAATAACAATTCATGTAATAGATGACAATCAATGGGAACCAGACGAAACATTTTTTGTTAAGGTAAGTTTTTATACTTGTTTCTTGAAAACAACAGTATGGTGCTACTTTCTTGTGATAACTGAAGTTATTTACTTCTTCACTTTATCTGATGAAGGGCGGTATGGCAGAAAAGCTGTTTTTTGTACCATAACTGCATTCGATTGGGGCTTGCTAGTAAAAAAATTGAAACTAAATTGAATGCTTAATCGTGTCCGATTATAGCCTATTCGTTACTCACTCTCTATCAGTATAAAATATCTCTAGGGTAGGACTGCAAAAGTTCCTGTTACTTCTTCGGCCGATATCGACAACGGTAACTAGAAAAACAGTTGCCATTAAAGTAACATTAACTGTTTTTTCAGTTAGTGTTAAACCAGCATAACTGAAAAGACAGTTACTGTTACTTTAACGATAACTGCGTTTCCCGTTACCGTTGAAATAACGGTAACTATCAGTTAGTTAACTTTGTGGTAACTATTTTTTATATGGCGAAAATATCAACGCAGCAGCTTAAAATGGCTTCCAAAATCGTTCGTTTTCCACTAAAACTGTTGAAACTTTCATAAATGACATGGTTTTGTAGTCTAATTCCATTGATGAAAACAAAAAAGATTTCTCAAGCTGGCTGTAGATGCTGAGGTCTCCAGAGACCTTAAAAACCGCAGTTACAAAACATTGAAGTTAAATAATTTCGATTAGTTTAGTTGACTGGCATGTTTGTGCTAATCAAAACCATGTTATTTATGAAAGTTTCAACAGTTTTAGTGGAAAACTAACGATTTTAGAAGCCATTTTTAGCTGTTGCGTGGATATTTTCGCCATACTTAAAAAATGGTTACCAAAAAGTTAACTAACTGATAGTTACCGTTATTTCAACGGTAACGGGAAACGCAGTTATCGTTAAAGTAACGGTAACTGTATTTTCAGTTAGCGTTAAATCGACGCAACGGGAACTTTTACAGTCCCACTCTAGGGTACATACCTTATGATGATATCACAAAATAAATTAGTAATTCTAATACTAAACATAGTCATTTATGATTGTATAATGTAACCATACTGGTCTGATGTAGAGAAAATACAATAATAGTTTGTTTCTTTTGATTTAAGCTTTCGTTGGTCGAAGGTGACGAAGTGAAAGCTAAACTTGGATCAAAAACTATTGCACTTGTCACTATTATTAATGATGATGGTATGTAATGAGAATTACACTAATAGTCCTCTCTTTAGACATTTATTGTTTTTGTAGAACCGGGTATTATTAGCTTTGAAGCAGAGGCAAAACTTGTAAAAGAATCAGTTGGTAATGCTAAAATTAAAATCGAAAGAAAGGATGGTGCCGACGGTAGAGTATCAGTTCGATATCGTACAAAAGATATTAATGCAGTGGCAGAAAAAGATTATATAGGTTGGTATACTATTGTAAATATAGTGAAAGTGTATTGTGTACTAAATAAATCGTTATATTTGTTTAGGAGGAGAAAGTGAAGTTGTGTTTGAGCACGGTGAATTATCGAAAACAATTGAAATACCAATTATCAACGATTTAGAAGCCGAAAAAAACGAGAGTTTTTCTGTTGAACTATTTGATCCAAAAGGTGCATATTAATTCATTGTGTAGTGATTTCTGCTTCACTGAATTTAATTGTATTTTCTTCGATTTAGGTGGTGCACAGTTGGGCAACCACGTTAAAATCGTTGTGACAATTATCGATGACGATGGTAATGTTCGTCGGTGCTACTTCTTGTTGTAATTTCATGTCATCAATTCGTCTCGTTTAGATTATAAAACCGTAACAAACAAAATAGCCACGTTAGCTCAAGGTGATCTTGATAAATTGAGTGTAACAACAGTAAGTTGGCCACAACAATTCCGTGAAGCAATGAGCGTTACCGGAGGTGATGATGATAAGCCTGCAAAAGTTGGTGATTACATACAACACACCGTGTCGTTCTTCTGGAAGGTAGAGAATCATACTGAATGAAAAGAAAATCATTTTAAACACAATTTCATTTAAGGTGTTATTTGCCTTCGTTCCTCCACCCCATTATGCTGGTGGTTGGTTGAGTTTTTTTATCTCGTTAGTATTTATTGCCGTGTTAACAGCTGTTGTTGGTGATGTTGCAGCCATATTTGGTTGTCTAGTAGGATTAAAAGATAGTATCACAGCCATATCATTTGTAGCACTAGGTGAGAAAGAAAAGAAAACCATGTATTCACAGAAGTTCATGATAAACAATTATTTCATATTTGTATAGGCACATCATTACCAGACACCTTTGCAAGTATGTATGCTGCAAAAAAATTAGACACAGCTGATGATGCCATTGGTAATGTGACTGGTTCAAATTCTGTTAACGTCTTTCTTGGTCTTGGACTGCCATGGTTAGTAGCAGCCATTTATTGGGAATCTAAAGTAAGTATACGATTAGTTAAGTAATCGATTTAATATCGCTTTTTTTCTCAATTTAGAATTTACCCTTCACTGTTAAAGCTGGTGATTTATCATTTTCCGTCCTGATATTTTCTATATGTTGTATTATTTGTATGGTCGTCTTAACTTTAAGAAGATTTATTGGCTTTTTTGGCAAAGCCGAGTTAGGAGGACCCACAATATCAAAATATGCGTGTTCACTATTTTTTGTTGTATTATGGATTGCCTATTTGACATTATCCGGTTTACAAGCATACGGTCATATTAAATGGTCAGCGTAAAATGTCTTCTGTTTATTAATCAACTGATATTTCGATTATCATTATTGAGTTCGTTTCATTTTTGTAAATAAAGATGTTTACAAACAACTAAATGACTAATGACAGTTTGGATTTATTCACCATTAATGCACTCATGTTATTACTCATGTTTTTTTAAAATGCTAGAATGTAAAAAAAAATTAGAACAGTTTACGTAAAAACTCTCGTAATATTATACGTCCGTCTATTAATATTAATATTAACGGTGAGTTTTAAATTGGCATTTCTCCTACTTTAAGCCACGCTATATGAAATTCGCTACGCTTAAATAGTTTAAAAATTTTTTATTTTACTTTATGCAAAAATGGTATTTTTGTGCTAATTATTATTTTTCTTTTCGTTGCTGTTAGGTTTTCTACAGCACTAAAGTTCAATTACGTCAGTATAAATCATTTTTCATTTCTCAGTGAAACGATATTTTGACATCACAATATAGATATACCTATTTTTGTTGCATGCACAAAGACGTTTTAGTGAAATTTTACCCAAAACAAAATATAATAGCCATATTTAGTTTAATATTTATGTGAAATTGTTTGTTTGTTCTTTGTTAACTTTATTTCTTTTTTATACTTGTGTACTGGTCAAGTTTTTTTTTCTTCTATCAAGTATTATACTAAGACATACAAAATAAAATATATTTAGATATAGAAAAGAATCCAGTATGAATATTGATTATATTTTATTTATCACACAAATTAAAATATTGATTGAATTAGGTATTGCAATTGTGCAAAAGAGGGGAGGAGGGAGAACCTTTAATTTTGTTAGCTAAATGTGATTTGAAGATCGAAAAAATCGAAAAAGAATATTTTTATTAATGAGATTTCCAGAAAAACTTTCGAAAAACCTTAGAGTTTTGTTAAAGCTGTTTCTACATCTGCTATAAATTGGATATAGAAGAGCCTAAATACTCTGCATTCTGAAGTTTTGAACTCGTTCTGATATTTTTTGAGTGAATAATGAACTTTTTAATATTAGGTGAAAACAGCTTGAAAACTCAAGTAACTTGTAAAACTTGCTCCGAAACAGAGCCCTAGCCGCGGAAAATGAAGGTCTTCCCCCACTCCCGTTTTGAAAAGGACATCTCGGGCTACCAATCTATGAACAAAAATCAACAGAAACTTATTGGAAAATTTTTATATACGACATTGGTTTTTCTCGTTGACTTATCGGTTTGTTGAGATGCTATAGAGTATTTTTTATGTTAGACTACCCAGTCACATTTTCTTCTAAATATTTTATATAGCATTTTATAGTCCGTGTAATTCTCTATCGAACGGTGTATGGTAGTTGAGGCTTTTCTCTAAGCGAAAGAGATGAAATAATGAAAATAATCTAAATAAAGTTCATTTAACGAGAGAAAAGTTTTGTTTTTGCAGGCACTGGAAAGGATTATTTAAGGTCTAAGAATATGTTATAGGGTTAATCGCTGACAATAACTACATTAGATCGGTTAATACAAGACTGATTTGTGAGGGGTTCGATTTTACCTCTTATCGAGCCCCGTCCTTTATTGGAAAAGTTTTGAAATTTTCTCTTTGTGAGTTATCACTAGCGCATCACTATAAGTGTTGATCAATACCTGAAAGATAGAAGAAGCATGTTCTGTATATAATTTGTATTTTTGAGTATGAAAAAAAACAAATAAATACATGCTATTCTCTTGGAATAATATTTGAATACTCGATTCAACTTTGCATAGTATTAATAATATCACTCACAAAAGAAATTATAAAGAGTTTTTTGTAGATTGTTGACTACGAATACTTCTAACTTTTGTCATCTCGAATTCAACATGAAATTTAAAACTGTAGCTCACGTTCTATTTAGAATCAAAACTAGAAACTCAAAACCTATATTTTATGAGCATTCTACCTACTCACTGTGAACAAAAATGACTAGATCAACTTGTCATGATATATTGTTTAACACGTTCACTGTCCATGTATTATATATGATTCATTTAATTTTTGACTATGGAGTTAGTTCATGTATCAGATATGATACAATGCAAGACACATTTCACGTCCACAACAAAAAATCATATTTAGTCTAATCTTGCAAATGTATCACATCTGATACATGAACTAACTCCATAGTCAAAAATTAAATGAATCATATATAATACATGGACAGTGAACGTGTTAATAATACCTGTTCTTTTTTTGGAGTTTCAAACTCAGTGTATTTCAGAACGTCAGATAGTTTTGGTTCACAAAAGTTTCAATTGAATGAATTTCAATAATTTATTTTAAAAGTAACGAATTATGTATTAGGTAAATCTGTTTTTAAAATTTTCTTAATGTAAGTATTGACTGTATACTAACAAACAATGTAAACATCATACAAATTTAAAAATGATACATAATTTTACTCATAAAATCAGTACTATCATTGAGAAAATTCTAAAGACAGATTCATCTACCATACTTCATTACTGTTAAAACGAATTTATTGAAATTCATTTCAAAAGAGCGAAGCTTTTGTGAACCAAAAATATTTGGTGCTTCAGTTCAAGTAACATTCGAGGTTAGCATGAGGCGACGTTTGTGACAAAGCTTTAAAACTTTGAAAATTTTGTTAACAATATTGATGAGTTTTATATACTGTGTACCTCGACAAAACAAAACAGTGAATTTTTTTCATATACGGAATTTCATTGGAATTCCCCAAGGCATTCTGGATTAACGTAGCCTAACGCTTTTGTTATGTTCGAGTACGGATACACCACCTTGTGAAGAAATCAACGTAAAGTTGGTTTTTTTGTTTTATAATATATAACGAAACACTGATTTGTATAAGAATAACATGACTCATGAAATAACTATTCTTTAAGGCCCCCCCCTTCCTCTCAGAAATGATGATCCTCGGACGAAAAATCCATTCTGAGATAAGCACATGGAAAGATAGCCTGAAGTGTCTACTTTCAAAATCTATATTGCTTTCGGTTACAGAAGTGATTTTTTGCGGCTTTCGAGAGAGTTTTCTAGGAGCTCCGGTAAACCCGATCTTCAAATAATAGTTTATTCTGGATACTTATGCAATTAAGTTTTTTTCTCAATGCGTAGATTGTAGAGTAAACTTTTCTGATCAAAATACGACATCGCACAACTCTGTTTAATCTTGCATTAAAAAGTTAAAGGCATTTTCCTAAAAGCCCTAAAGTTGAGCATTTTATACAGCGCTTAATACAGCGTTTTCTCTACATGTAAGTTACACCTGAAGTATTTCCCAAAATTTTTTAATATACTTCAAGCTAGAGAGTTCGGGTTTGTTTTATTTTAAGCTAGACACGTAGCTACATGGGCTGACCGACGCAAATTTTTCAATTAGGTCTTACTTTTCGTCAAACTGAGGACTTCTAGAAAACCAGGAAGCGTTTTTCGGGTTTTTGAGGTTGTTGGTTGTCTATATAACGAATAAAGACCTAACTAGAAAATCGGCGCCAGTCAGCTCATGTAGCTAGGTGTCTAGTTTAAAATAAAACAAACCCCAAACTCTCTAGCTTGAAGTATATTAAAAAAATTTAGGAAATACTTCGGGATCCTTTTTGGACCTTAATCTCTGGAAAACTCGTAAACCGTAACACTTGGGAGACAAAAAAATGTTTTCATTCTCGCAACTCATTGTGCCTAACATTTGTGGAAAGTTTCGTCAAGATCAGATGTACGGTGTCGGAGATAATTTCTGACGGGGAGCCCTTAACCCTTTACAGTCGGGTGTTGACTACCGATGACATCGATCTATTAAGTGTCGAAGGAATTTCATTCTAAAAGAATACACTTTGCCGATCCCTGTCACAGCAAAACAATAAATATAAAGGGAGGAATATTTTTATTAGTTAATTTTTTGCAGCCGACAGAAAAGGAATATGACAGAAGGGAATATTGTTACTAAATGGCTTATGCAACCGGCCGTAAAGGGTTAAATTAGACTCTATAAGATTCATTTTATTATTAAATATAGAACAAAAATATATACGATGTAGTTCAAATCAGTTAGCTCATTGATCACTAGAAAGTAAAGTCTGAAAAACCATCTCATATGAAGTTATGATTCTACTAAATGAGTCAAATTCGTGTGGTTAAACATTACTACCATAAAATTCTCTATTGTCTCGGACTTTTCTAATCTTTGTTTTTATTTGAGATTTTGAATGAGAAAAGGATACTAATACAAAAAAAGTTCATATAAAAAATACACAGAGAGAAATGTACGATCGTGCATGGATTATTTTTGAAATAATCCCAAATAACAAACATAGAAAATAAAAAAAGACTTCACTTTACTTGCAGTACTTTTCAAATAAAAAACAAACAGATAGCACGAAAATCGTTTTTTATCCTAAACAAAGTCGGGCAAAAAATAAGTTTAATTTAATTTTTTCTCAAATAATCCAATTACATCTCTAAATATTGTACAAAAATGAAACGATATAGTATAGTCAAATGTGACAGTGATATCATGAACTTACTTGTGTATATACATCACACCATATGCATTTGGAGCCAAATCTTTCAATGCTTTTTCTTCTGTACAAGTTGAAACAGACGTATCATCATATGACCACCATACATTTTGTTGACAATCGTAGACAGTTGATGTATAATGACCTTTTGAGAGAAAAACGAGAAAGAATAGAAAATAGAGATAATAGAGTAACACAGAACTGACCAACGTCGCTTGAACCACCATGATGATTTATTAATGCAAATAAACGATAATCAGCATGTAAACCATCAATGATGGATGATTTTAAATACATTGAACTGTTAATCTGAAAAAATAGAAATTTCTTTAATTTTACTTTCAACAAGCTAACTTTATTATTTAAGAAACAGATTTCTGATTTTTGTTATTATTTAGAAAATTAACTTGCATTAAGAGATTATTTCAATTTAAAAATGATATAAATCATTCAACTTACAGTTTCACTTGGATTAATTGAATTGTTAATTTGTTTTTCTATGTTAATATTTTCATCATTTAAACGTGAACGTTTTGATTCAATATAATCATCGGAGGATTGTTCTCGGTCGAAATCATTAATTTTATCATACGTTGATAACATTGTTGGTGATTTATTATTCATTATTTTATCTCGTTGTTTTAATAAATCTTTTAAAATAGGTAATTGTCTATTAATCGAGAATAATTTTGGTTCTTGAACATTTTGTGTGCAATATGGTTTCATATTTAAATTTAATGAACAATACACTTCTTGATCTTCTTTTGATACGGACTCAAGTTCACCTAATGGTGTTTTTGTTACATGCCATCGTTTTAAATAAAGTACAAATACACTATAAGATAGAAAAATCATACAATCAATATTTTTTTGTTTCTTATAGTTGAAGTTTTTACCGCGGTAATTGAGCAATATTATAGCGAATTAATTTTTCTTCCGTTGTTTTACATTCATCACAATAACAATCAAGTCTTTCTTCAATAAAATAATTTTCAATTAAGTTTTCTAAATAATGTGTATCACTATTTCTAAAATACAAGAAGAATAAATAATAGAACAAACATCTTCTCAGATTAGTAGGCCATTCTGAATGAGTAGTAGCACGATTTTTTTGACTGAACTGAACATTTTTTTGACTAAAACTGTTTGATGTGCAAAACCATAATAGAAGGCTATGACTTCCAATTCGTAGACATTTTTCACAATGAGTCGAACATTAGGACTTTTTGCTCATAAACTATTTTTCATGAATAATTATCATTACTTAGCCATTTCTAATACTTTTTTTAGAAAAAAATTAACATTTTCAGGAAAAATCGATCTTCTAGGTTCAGCACTAAGAAAGTCAAAGAAACTCGTTGCATCGATGGCATGTGTTTTCAGAAACTACTTTTATTTTCTCGCATATTTAGGTCCAAAAGAAACAATTCCTTTACTAACTGATAGCCGGAAAAGCCTAGAGTGAGAATTAATCTCATTTTGGGATTGACATTTATCACATTTCATCACAGATATTTTTATCTCTCGTCCACGTGTTTTGATGCTAGTTTCTGACTATGTGTTTTCCTAGGTTTCTTAGTACATAGAACAAAAAAATTTTATGCTGTTAAATAGCTCATATATTGATGAATATTTTCCGCTGTTTCAGTGGCTGATTCAGAAATTTTTAACAGTAATAGCGGTTTTTAAACAAGCGTGTCAAGATAGTATTAAATTGACCTTTTTCTGTGAGAGTGCGCATTACTTTGCATCTGAAAAAATATACATTCTGGAGTTATTTCGTAAAGCTAGATCGTTCATACATATCAAAAAGCTCGCAGGTTGGATCAAGCAATCTGGGAAAAATTCATTTTTGTTTTGTCGCCTAATATCCGCCTGGATATACAGTACTGGCCAAAATTATAGGTTCACCTTTAGTTTTAATTTTTCTCTTCAACCATAATAACTAGAACAAATGTGAAAAAAGATTTGAAAACTGAAAGAGTTTATAATCAGATGAGATGCATATGAAAATTCCATT